GTGTGTGTGTGTGTGTGTGCATACGTGCATGTGTGTGTGTGTGTGTGTGTGTGTGTGTGTGGCGGTGTCCTGCGAGATTAGCCCAGAAGGGCCATGTTTTTCAGAGAGGAATTGATGAGTGCGTTGATGCTTATGGATCAAGGTGTAGCACCAGCTGGTGGCCGTCTGCTTGGTTCTTGGGCAGGAGCAATGGGGCAATGCCAATTCATGCCCTCTAGCTATCACAACTTCGCTGTTGATTACGATGGCGATGGTCAAGCAGGTGTGTTTTCGTAAACCCTTTTTCACCCCCTTTGCTTGAGAGGAGAAGGGAGAAGGGGGGGGGCGGGAATGTAAACCTTGCCTGGAATTCAGTCTTTATTGTGAAATGATTTAGCTATTTCAAAATTTTCATATTATATTTGTAATGATTCCTTATGTCTTCTGCCAGGGCCTGAACATCTCCGCTTAGCCTGCAACAGGCAGTGTATCACATAGCAGGTATGTTCGTGTTTACCCTTTTTCTGAGGGTAGTAGTATCGATTTCTGAGGCAGGATTTAAACTCTTAAACCATATCTCAATAGGTGTCGTTGCATTTCATCCAGTTATCAGGCAGCCAGCTACCAGACCAGTGTCTGCAAGATGTTGAGCAGGGCTTTGCACTGCTGCGAAGTTTGGGTGAAGCAGTCAGACACAGCCTCATGTTCTTAGCGTCTGGATTGAAGAGACTCAATTGTGGACTACTCAGCATCTCTTTTTCTCAGTGGCTTTGCTGTCCGCATCATGTAGTTTTTTGTACACGAGCTTTGTATGCTAGACAAGCTGCAATGGACTACCGATCTACTCCTCCCTTACCCATCTACCCACCTACCCAGCTTCCTGATTACCCGACTACCCACCTACCCACCTGCCCACCTTAACCACCTACCCACCTGCTCACCTACCCACCTACCCGCCTACCCACCTACCCACCTGCCCACGTACCCACCTTACCCACCTACCCACCGGCCCACCTACCCACCTACCCACCTACCCACCTACCCACCTACCCCACTTAATCCACCTACCCACCTACCCCACCTACCCACCTACCCACCTACCCGCCTACCCATCCGACCACCTACCCACCTGCATGGTCTTCGATAGATGTGGCAAGGTGGAATGCTGCCCAGGCGGAATGCTGCAGGTGTCTGACATCTTTGAGGAATTGATGGAGCTATTTGCACAAGCCAAAAGGCGCAGGGCTGCGGTGGCTGCAGCGGATTGGAGCTGAGAATGTGGGACATAACATATAGGGCGAGAGGAGAGCACTTGGTGGTGAGGGCAGAGGCAGAGGACGCGACACGGGGGGGACAATAATATCATTACAATAGTGTCTGTGCCCTTATTTTTGGCATAGATGTGGTGCGTGACGCCCTTCTCTCTGTCTCTCTGTTTTCACAAAGCACCAGAAAGGAAAAATAGCACACATCGGCACCTGCTCGGTAGTACTATGAGCTGGGTGGTGTTATGGGGGTGGTACCATGTGGATGGGTGGTCTCGCTGCAGGGTAATGTGTGGGGTGGGTCATAGTATGGGGACTGGATGATACCATGTGGACTCGGCGGTACAATACGGGGTTGGGTGATGGTATGTGGGGTGGGTGGTAGCTTTTTCACATCCCTCCGTACATCACTGGCCGGTCAAGGGTCGCCGACTTTCGGAAAAACTACCCTGTAACTAAACGGTTAACAATGTTAACATGTAAGAGGGGACATTTGCGTTTTGCCCGTGGAAAGATTCTGGAAATCAATATTTGCCAGTGAAAGATGTGGGCATGGTGGAATGCCCTTCTGATGTTGGGGGAAATTGCATTGCGCATTTGTGTGTGTGTGCGTGTGTGTGTGTGGGGAGAGAGAGAGACAGAGAGAGAGGCCAAGGAAACGAATATGTGCTAAGTAGGGCAAATTACAAGATCGGAACACGTACTAAGAAGCCAACATACAGGATTTAATTGGCATTTGGAATTCAGATTTTGAAATGAACTTTTTTCTTTTGGACCTGTTTGGATTTTGTAGTGAAAGTTTGGATTTTGAAATGCTGCAATGGAGCTACTTGGATTTTGAAGTGAAAGTTGGATTCAAGATCAGGTTCCTTAGAGGCACGTTTTATTGGTTGGTAAAGTGGACACTTGACACTTTTTGGTTCATTGCGACTGATTGAGTGGTTGGTTTTGGTGACTGATTGGTTTGATAATTTGATTACAGATATCTGGAACTCCAAAGCGGATGTGTTTGCATCTATGGCAAATTATTTGGAAAAGAATGGGTGGAAACGTGCTCAGCGCTATGCTGGTCAGAGAGTGAGTTCTCCTGTCCCCACCCAGCAAGACCATTAAGTTCCACTCGACACATGAGCTCTTCTTTTAACCACTCACTCCAGGGTGGTCTGGAGTGAGTGAATGTGCTGGAATATGTTAGAAGAACAAATTTTAAAAGTTGCTGAGCATGTGTGTGTGTGTGTGTGTGTGTGTGTGTGTGTGTGTGAAGTTGTGAGAACACAGCTGATTCAGCTGAAGATAGTGTAAAGCTTATATGTAAGACGAACTGCTGAACAAGACAGCTGAACATAGCAATAAGTGTCACACAGCTGNAATAAGTGTCACACAGCTGATTCAGCTGAAGATAGTGTAAAGCTTATATGTAAGACGAACTGCTGAACAAGACAGCTGAACATAGCAATAAGTGTGAAAAAAAAAGAAAAAAAGACAGACAGCTGAAGTTGCTGAACGTACTGCAGTTGCAGCTTGTAAGACTTACTTCACCGTGGAGTGAGTTGGTAGGCTGCAGTTTGTTAGAAGAACACAATTCTCAAACTGACCGACCATGTGTGTGTAAAGTTGTGAGAACGCAGAAGCTGTGTCAAGTTAGGAGAAGACGAAAGATGTTTTTTTTTGTGGGGGGGGGACCATTTGAGTCTGTTTCTCGATTTATGCGTGTCATCCTCGTGCAGGGGCCATTCTAATTTTCTCTGCATCGTTCCAATTTCAACAGATGTCCAGAAGGACGAGAAATAGTAGTATATTTTAGTTTGTCACGTTTACCATTTTCACCAACCGACTGTGCTCACCATCGGACTTAGAAAAAAAAAAAAAGAAAAAAAAAAGAAAAGAAAAAAAATGTTGATCTGTGGGATGTGTTATTTGCTTTGTGACAATTGGATTATCTTCCTTTCCCAGTCAGGTTTGGTCTTCTCCTCCTTTTCTTTACCTCTTTGCCTTTTGGCTGCGTGCAAGTGGGTCCTTGTGACACACGGGCATGGGGGCAGCCAGCGCTCAACCTGTCATCCACGTGGCTGGCCTTGTACGTAAGAGGTGATGAACAGGTGGGGCTTTCCTTCCTTCCTTCTTTTCCTTTCCTTGTTTTGCTTTTTTCTGCCTTCGCGCTCTGATTTACAGGGTGACTATATATATATATATATATCGTTTGTTGTCCTCTTCTCCCTCTCTACCTACGGTTTACCGGGCAGCTCTGTTTGACTATATATAGTCAAACGGAGCTGCCCGGTAAACCGTTGGCAGAGAGGGAGAAGAGGAGGACAACAAACGAGGGGCTGTGGCAAACTGTTTCATCAGAGTTTCACCGACTCATCAGGAGACTGAACCCTCAACATTCTGCAGAATCCCCTAACTGATTACACTGTAAGTGATAATCCACCTTAACCCCGGCTGTGGTTAAGCATCAACGACTGCCCGACAACTGATACAACTGAGGTGGGCACCAACCACTGCCCTCAAGGTACCTGTGGCAAATATATACGCAAGAGGTTCTGAACAGGGGGAGTTGTAAGGCAGAAGATTAAAAATGAATTAAGTTTTTCTTGTTTCCTTGTTTTCTTTCGTTTTTCGCTTCGGCGCTCTGATATCATGTGACAATATATATAATATATGTTGAGTGAGGGGATTCTGCAGACTGTTGAGGGTTCAGCCTCCTGATGAGTCGGTGAAACTCCGACGAAACAGTTTGTCACAACCCCTCATTTGTTGTCCTCTTCTCCCTCTCTGCCTACGGTTTACCGGGCAGTTCTATTTGACGATATATATACGCCTACGGTTTACCGGGAAGCTCTGTTTGACAATATATACCACGAGTTCGCTAGCACTCTGCTACGGTTTTCTTCGGTCAGGTCGAGCGGCAGTGGTCGGGGCCGTCACTACGCGGCCATGCTGTGCCTCTAGTGCCAGTCGCGTGTCTGGAGTGTATTTTTGGCTGTGGCAGACCTTTCTTTGTTTCGTGGGTGTTTTGCTGGCTTGTGATGGGATGTGAACCGACAGTCTGTAGAGTTTTCCATCTGGTGTGGGTGAGTGATAGTCTGCTTTGATTTTCATCACAGGTGCCTTGAGAGCAGTGGTTGGTGCCCACCTCAGGGTATCAGTTGTCGGGCAGTTGTTGATGCTTAACCACAACTGGGGTTAAGGGGGATTATCATTTACAGTGTAATCAGTTAGGGGATTCTGCAGAATGTTGAGGGTTCAGCCTCCTGATGAGTCGGTGAAACTCCGACGAAATAGTTTGTCACAGCCCGTCGTTTGTTGTCCTCTTCTCCCTCTTTGCCTTCGGTTTGCCGGGCAGCTCTGCTTGACTATATATATGTAATTTTGTGACAATATATATAGTCAAACAAGTCAAACAGAGCTGCCCGGCAAACCGAAGGCAGAGAGGGAGAAGAGGATAACAAACCCTGCCTCCGCCATGTCAGCAATCTGTGCTCAATTTGCCATGTCAGCACTCTGTGCTCAATGTGCCACGTCAGCAGTCTGTGCTCAATGTGCCATGTCAGCACTCTGTGCTGTGTGCCACGTCAGCACTCTGTACGCAGTATGACGTATGGACGATGTAGAAGCAACCTCTCGCAGATAAACGATCCTCCCACAGCGAGCAGAATCGGCAGCAGCTTCACATCTGAAGAAATCAGGTACGTACGCACAATGACTCACATTACCCACACTCTCTCTCTCTCTCTCTCTCTCTCTCTCTCTCTCTCTCTCCTCATTCCCTCGCCGTCATCTGTGGTCGCGGCCTTGGCCGCCCTCTCCCTCTCTCTAAACTACTGTATTTGTCTGGTGCCCATGAAGCAGCCTGGCGCCAGCACTCCCTCTCAAGTCTCACGTGCAGCGTCGTAGCCGCAAGTAACTCGCAAGACTGAATGCCCAAGCAGTGGCGAGGTCAACTTACTTATATAGTGTTGACTTGCCTGTCCACGGTCAGCATCGGTCCATGTGAGGGCCCGGATCCTCCGATTTGTCCCAGTTTCGGTCTGGACTCCTTGAGGACTGAATCTTCCGGAACCTGCAGACCACCGTTAGATTATTTCAGATCGACGGCCAGGAAAAAAAAAATTCTGTGCCGACTTTGACTTCTCGGATCTGGGCCTGGGCCCCCACGAGCTGACTGTGGACTTTTCGGTCAACTGTCGGCCTGGGTCATTTCTGAGGCCTGTTTGACCCCTCTATTTCCAAGTCTGCCCGCTGGTGCGTGTTTGCGGGCGCGGCGAGAGCCCAGTGGCTCAATTTGGCACAGGAGTTACAGCAAAAGGCCCACAGCCTTGAGTTGTCATCATCGAACTGACAAGAAGTAGGTAATTCAGAATGCACTCATTCACTTATGTTTACTATGACTGGAGTTCGAACTCGGGTGTGCATTTCAACAGTTCATGGGTGTACCAACTGAGCTAAGCCCGTTGGTGTAGGAACAGATTAAGGTCTGTTGGTGTTTACGATTTTCACCAAGTGAGCTTGATTTCAAATGACGAGTGTCGGTCTTTGGTCTACCCCATCGTTTGAAATCAAGCTCACTTGGTGGAAATCGTAAAAACGACACAGTCATGCCGTGCTATGTCTGAGCACATATGCCGCGTTTTTTTTGTTTGTTTTTTTTAAGATCAAAATTAAAAGTGACGAGTCGGTGAAAAGTCCGACGAAACCGTCTGGCAGAGTGAACTTTTGTGGAGGTGCCGCTTGCGTATAGCGAACATGACAACACACGTGGTGCATACCCGGATACTACGGTAGTTGTTAAACAAATGCTGCAGTAAGTGGTGGCACTTGGAAGCGTTAAAAGTTGAAATTCAAAACCCTTGAGAGCAGGGTAGTCATGCCGACGGTAGGCGCCGTCGGAGCCGACCGGTCGGTGACCGGTAGGCACCCTGCCAAAAAAAAAAGGGTCCAGAACCCCAAATAACCCCATCCACACCTGCATAGCCCCCCCCAACACCCCCATACCGCCCCCTAACATACCCCCCCCCCCCCCCCCCCCTCTTCCTCCCTATCACCCCCCTATACCTCCTCCTATAATCCCTACCATCCCCCAAAAACATTATTGCGGATTTGGGCTGCTCTCCTCAAGCCGCGCACGACCATGTAATCACAAAAATAAATGCAAATTGCAAGGCAGTCTGCCGACCGCCGACGGGTCCGCCGGCCTGACTGGTAGGCACGCCTACCGCCTATGGTAGGCGTTGGTGGTAGCCGCCAAAACTACCCTGCTTGAGAGCAAATTTGTGTGGTTAGATTGCATGCCAAGTTCAAGACCATCATGTAATCTAACCGCAGTCTAACCTGCGGTTAGACTATGGGGACCAAAAAAAAAAGATATAGGACCAGTAGTCTAACCTGTACCTTCGCACCTCAGTGTCTATTGTCTAACTGCAGTCTAAACTGTTATAGTCTAACCTGCGGTTAGATTACGTGTACATTTTTCATTCTTTGTTAAACCACCAGTACATGGCCCCAGGCAACTGGAGAACCTGTTTTGAGCCTGTTCTGAAATTTAGGAGGCCAAGCGCCGTACATAAAATGAATCGGCGGTGGTCCGCGGGCGATAGCCGGTATGTACAGGTGCTTTAACAGGCTGCAGTTCCAGGAGCAGCCACTTGCGGACCTCAGCGTCTATTGTCTGCTGCTTTTGCAGTAGGCAGAGGAGTCTGTGGCGAGCCAGATTGTGAAACCTTGCCCGGTGAACTTGCAGCTGTGCAAAGCAAACTCCCACCATGATTTTGATTTTCTCCTTCTTTGCGATTTCCTTTGGTTGGTCTGTGCAGGTTAAAGCACCGGCAGCAATCAGCTCAGAGCTGATTGGCCTTAAATTTCAAGCAACTGTGAAGGACTGGGAGAACAAATACAATGTTGTACCGCTGGAGGAACTCCAACTGCCACCAACAGCTCTTGCAAGTCTGGTAAGTAAGGGCATACTCGCCTGCGACCTTTTTTTTTTTTTTTTTTAATTTGGACCATTTCTCGATTTATGCGTGTCATCCTTGTGCAGGGGCCATGCTAACCTTCTCTGTATCGTTCCAAGTTTAACGGATGTCCCGAAGGACCCCGCGACCCTTTTTTGACTGTTCGTTTTAGAAATTTAGACATAATTGCACGCAGATGCCTGTGGGAACGGCCGTAGTTGCTGTCATATACATCCGGGAAAGTCCGATCGTGAGTGCACTCTATAGAGTCTATACCCATCGGATTATGCCCAAGGCAGAGCAGCAGTATTCACTAATTGCGCGCAGATGCATGTGTAAAGTGGAACGAATTCTCTGGCCGTAGTATTTGCGAATTGAGACAGATCTGATTTGATGCTTTTGTTTTTTGCGACGCCAAGCAAACACGTCTCTGCTCTTGTGCTGTGATGAGCCGGCAATCGACTTGGCACTCTTGCTTTTGTAGTGCGAAGCAAACAAGTCTATGGTTTTGTGCTATCTCGCTGCATTACACCGTGGAACTTAACAAAAGGGCTATTGGAAAGGAGGGAGGGGTTGGGGGGTGGGGTGAAGGGGGGGGAGAGGAGGGAGGAGGAGGAGAACTTAACAAAAGGGTTATTGTATGGGGTGGGGGAGAGGAAGGAGGAATGTGCAGTGAGAAGGGGAGGGGAGTAGAGGCCATGATGGCAGTTAGCATGGAAGCTGTGGGTGTTCACAGCTGTGCTCCTGTCCTTATCCATGTGGTAAGGTGCAGTGAGGAGACGGGGGAGGGGAGAGGAGGGGAGGGGAGAGAGGGGAGGGGAGAAGAGGGGAGAGGAGGGGAGAGGAGGGGAGTAGATGTCATGACAGCAGTTAGCATGGTAAACGGGGGTGCTGACAGCTCGGTTGCTGTGCCATATATATCGCCTCTCCCCCTCTTCATGCTCCCTCCTCTGTTCTCTCCCAGATGTTTGTTGCTGGGCTTGGTATCTGGCAAGAGGAGGAGTATGCATGCACTGCGGTTGCTTTCCTCTTCCTCCTCGATGCATCCATTCTTGATATGGACAGGTCCCATGTTTTCACTTGCATTTGTCTGCTTGACCACTCCTCTCCACCGTTTTTCCCATTCTCGCTTCCATTTTTATTTTTCTTATGCTAATGCCCCTTCTCACTTTACCATCACATTCTTCTTTGTTCGATTGTGGATCGATTTGCAACCCTTTGTTCGTTTGCTGATCGATCTGCAGGCTCTCTGCAGTCTCTCTGCAGTCTCTCTGAAGTCTCCCTTGTTTGATTGCTCATCGATCTGCATGCTGCTCCTTTGTTTGATTGCTGATTGATCTCTCTGTTGAGATAGTAGCGACGGCTATTTTGTTTCGCTAAACACTTCGATGCTCTGTTCAATCTATATTGCTTTTTGGGAACAGATTGCTCCTGATGGTGCAGAGGGTCCAGCGTTTCTTGTGGGCGACAACTTCAGGGCGATTATGAGCTACAATTCATCGCAGCTGTATGCGATCTCTGTCTTTGAGCTAGCTAATTTGATCAACCAGAGGGCGTCGTCGCGCGCTCCTTCCCAGCTGGACGTACCGGGTCAGGTACTGGCAACAGTGTGAATAGGAGATGCAACTGCACCTCCCCTTTCCCAAGGCGGATTCTCGATCGGCATGTACCAAAGCGCAATATCAGATCGACAGCAGGAATGCTCGGACATGTGCGAAGAAGATCCACTGGATGTCTGAAGTTGGATGTCCGGTCCAGAAAGAGATCAGTGTTTGCTGTAATCTAGTGCCACCCATGTTTTTTTTTTTTTTTTTTTTTTTTTCTTTTTCGGGAGAGTTTAAAAAACAGGGCAGCTGTTTGGAGGGGTGATATGAGCAGCCCCAACTAAAAGCCTTTCTGGTTGCTCCAATCTATTGGTGGGAAGCGTAACCTGCTGGAAATGGGGTCCAGGGTCCCTCAGCATGCAGTTTTAGATCCACATTGAAGAGAGAATATTCTCCTGCCACTGCTGCCAGCATTGATTGCCCCAAATACCCGGGGGATTTACTGTGCAGGGTGGGGCCCGCTCAGCCCCCGTCCTCCTTGACTGTGCAGGGTGGGGGCCGACAGGCCGTCCTACCTATGTAACGCTTCAACGAGTATAGCCAAGAAAGCGCGTCTTACCCGGGAAAAAAAAAAAGCTTGTCTTAACAAAAAAAAAAGCGCGTCTTACCAAAAAAAAAAAAAAAAAAAACCGTCTTACACGACTGTTCCACGCAACTGTATCTCTCATTTACAAGAGTGGAAGGAGCGGGATTTCTCCAACGGACACGTACTGATTCTACTGAATCGTAACATCCAATCAACAACGAGAATTGTCTGCACAACGCCATCGTCATCCCGTTGTCCACATGTGGGACTCTCTCCGTGCCAACAGCATGTGAGTGGAGCACAAACGACCTGCGCACTACTGTGTACGGTCCTTGTTTTTTCCCCCTCTACAGCTGCGCACTTTGCAGCAAAGGAAACGCAAGGGCAGCGTGTCGTAGCTCTGGTCGTCATCATCAGTGCTATAGTGATTGAATACACGAGCAGTAGACGAGTGGATTTGATCAATTTGATTTGATCAATTTTAATGTGACGAATTGACTGTAATGGCTAAGCGGTAGTAAGCAGCAACGCCGTCTCTTTGTCGTTGTGCTTTTTGAAACTTTTTTGGAGTTTTTTTAACTTTTTTCTTATTTGTTGAATTTGTAAGTTTGTTCCCATTGTAATGAAACCAGCTTCAGAACCTCACAACCTGCCGGTAGGTAGTCCATCATGAACTCGTGAGGCTCAAATCAAAATCAACGCTAAGTTGATATCTCATATTATGATATTATCATATTACTGATAACAATGAAGCGGAGATCGGGATGAAACAACGAGACGCTGTGCAGAAGAAGAGGATGAGCTTGAAAATAAAGAGAGAAAATAGAGTGCAATTATACAATATTGAATATTGGAGTTGCCTCCTTGTCCTTGTCTTCTATCTGACTATTCTGTCTGGTTTAGAGTGCAACTCCTTGTTGACTCTGAGTGCAACACACAGCGGATACGTTGAGGAGGCGAGAAAATAGTGTGCAATTATGCAATAGTCTCTCGCCTCCTCAACGTATCCGCTGTGTGTTGGCTGTTACTGATGCCAAGGAATGTGTGATTTCTGACTCTGAGCGTATTCCCCCCCCCTTTGCTGCTAAACCAGACAGAATAGTCACACGTCGAACCAAAATCTCTTTCTAGCGTTTGACTATGCAAGCTTAGCACAATAATGCTGGAACTTTGTCCTCTCCAGCATCATGGAACCAACAGCAGTGCCTCTCTCTCTCTCTCTCTCTCTCTCTCTCTCTCTCTCTCTCTCTCTCTCTCTCTCTCTCTCTCTCTCTCTCTCTCTCTCTCTC